AGGCAAAGGGAACAGCATATGCCAAGGGCCTTAGGAAGTAGTGTGCTTGATGTGTTGAAGGCAGTGTATCTGGACTGAAGTGAGGAGAGTGAGAGGAGGGAGGTGGGAAAAGCAAGCAAGTTCTACAGAACTTTGTGAGGTATGGTCAAGAGTTAACATGTTATTCTTCGGAGCCGTGGGAAGCCAATGAAGGGCCTTCGCCAGGGGTGGTATGTGGTCTGATTTCCACGGAGACCCTAGCTTCAGGGTGAGGTATGCTTATCTTCAAAACAGTGGCTAAAACCTGTAATTCCAGCACTTTGGGAGCCCAAGGTGGGAGGATCGCTTGAGTCCAGGAGTTCAAGACCAGCCTCGGAAACATAGTGAGCCCCTGTCTCTAAAACAAAATTAAAGACTGGGTGCGGTGGCTTACACCTATAATCCCAGCACTTTGGGAGTCTGAGGCAGGGGGATCGCCTGAGGTCAGGAGTTCGAGACCAGGCTGGCCAATGTGGTGAAACCCTGTCTCTACTAAAACTACAAAAATTAGCTGAGTGTGGTGGTGGACACCTGTGATGCCAGCTACTTGGGAGGCTGAAACGGGAGAATTGCTTGAACCCGGGAGGTGGAGGTTGTAGTGAGCCAAGATTACACCGCTGCACTCCAGCCTGGGTGACAGAACAAGACTGTCTCAAAAAAAATAAAATAAAAAAAAATTAAAGAAAGTGGGGTGGGGGTGTGCAAAGCTACAAGGAACAGGGCTTTAGAGAAAGGAACCCAGACTCAACCCCACTAAGACACCCTCCTTATGCATCTCTCCTGTCTGCTTCTCTCAGCACAGATTTATCCCTTTCAATTGCATGTGGTGAGGAAAATGGTCACTTACTTACAGACACAGACTCAATCTTTCCAGAGCCCAGAGATAAAATGGCAGAATCTCTAGTCCTAAGAGAAAAATCCCAGGGAAGGGCTCTGATTGGCCTGGCTGTGGTCACATGGGAACCCCTGCATGGAATGCTTTGATTGGCCAGGTTGGGGGTAGATGGGTCCTATGTCCAGGTTGTGTGTCCTGGGAAGGGGGGGGATTGCTAAATATTAGGTTGAACCATATGAACTTGCGATTTTTTTAGGTCAGACATTATAGAGTATTGGCAATTACATGTGGTTGAAGCTAATACCAGAAAAAGTAGGATAAGAAATATTGTTGGCTGGGCGTGGTGGCTCATACCTATAATCCCAGCACTTTGGGAGGCCAAGGTGGGAGGATCACTTGAGGTTAGGGGCTGGAAGCCAGCCTGGGCAACATGGCGAGACTCTGTCTCTACAAAAATAAAAATAAAAAATAAAAAATTAGCCAAGCCTGGTGGCATGCGCCTGTAGTCCCAGCTGCTCAGGAGGCTGAGGTGGGGAGGTTCCTGGAGCCCAGGAGCTTGAGGCAGTTGTGAGCTATGATCGAGCCCCTGCACTCCAGCCTGGATGACAGAGCAAGACCTTGTTGCTAAAAAAACAAAAAACCAAAACAAACAAACAAACAAAAAAAGAAAACAAAGAAAGCTTGTTGCTGTTATATGCTCAAAAAAGAAACAAAAAAAATAAGAAAGCCTGGTGAGCATATAAAAGCAATAGAGCCCAGGTGTGGTGGCTTACGCCTGTAATCCCAGCACTTTGGGAAGCAGAGGGAGGCGGATCACCTGAGGTCGGGAGTTTGAGACCAGCCTGGCCAATACGGCAAAACCCTTTCTCTACTAAAAGTACAAAAATGAGCTGCACATGGTGGCGGGCACCTGTAGTCCCACTGACTCTGGGGGCTGAGACAGGAGAATTGCTTGAACCTGGGAGGCAGAGATGGCAGTGAGCCGAGATTGTGCCATTGCACTCCAGCCTGGGCAACAGAACAAGACTCTGTCTCAAAAACAAAACAAAGCAAAACAGGCTGTGGTGGCTCACGCCTGTAATCCCAGCAATTTGGGAGGCAGAGGCAGGCAGATCACGAGGTCAGGAGATCGAGACCATCCTGGCCAACATGGTGAAACCCAATCTCTACTACAAATACAAAAAATTACCAGGGCATCTGTCATCCCAGCTGCTACTCAGGAAGCTGAGGCAGGAGGCAGGAGAATCACTTGAGCCCGGAGGTGGAGGTTGCAGTGAGCCCAGATTGTGCCACTACACTCCAGCCTGGGTGACAGAGAGAGACTCTGTCTCAAAATAAATAAATAAAATAAATAAGTAAAAAAAAATAAACAAAAGCAATAGAAATCCTGGTGTAGTATACAGAAGTTTTGGAGGAGAAGGCAATATTGTAAAAATGAGCCAGGTGAAGGCGTGGTAGGGGGAGAATGATGGGAACCGTCCTGAGCAGGGGGAACCGCTTAAGCAAAGGCCATCACAAGAGAGAAGGAGGGAAGGCTTGTTACTGCGCTCTGGAGATGGAGTGCTTGCTCTAATCAATCAAATTGGAGTCACATGTCCCGCCAAATGAGGGAGTGGGAAAGGAGGTCATTTCTAAAGGAAAATTGAGGGGCTGTTACCAGGAGTAATGGATGCTGGTCAGGCAAAACCAAAATATATCCAGCTCAAAATCTCTTCTCTGAGGACTTGGCATCTCCAAGAGAGATTTGCAAACTTGTTGTTGTTGTTGCTGTTTTTTTTCCATTGCAACATTCATAATTGAAGAGGCTCATATGCCTGGGCTGAGACATGTCCTATATGATTAAAATTTTTATGAAATATTAATTGACCACCTTCTCTGGGTTCAGTGCTGGCCATGCAGAGATGAATTTGTGGGGATACATTTGGCCGCAAGAAACAGAAAAATCCAATTAACATGACAAGCAATAAAGGCATTCGGTGATGTCATCTGAGAGTAAGTCTGGAGTTAGGGGATTGCAGGGTTTGGTGCAAAGGCTTGTTAATATCAGCAAGGACCCAGTCTTCTACTCTTTTGTTCTACCTTCCTCAGAATGATAGCTTCACACCCTCAACTTGTTACCTTCTGGTCACAAAGTGGCTGCCATAGCTCTGGGTCTCACATCTTCATATCAATGAACTAAGCAGGAAGGAAGGGAGCAAGGAGGAAGGAGTTCTTTTTGTATTGAGGAAGAAAAATATGTGAAAATAATAAGAGTAACGGCGGCAAACACATGTATGGGACTCTCCCCTTGCCAGGCTCTGTTACTTTTTTAGATGGAGTCTTGCTCTGTCGCCCAGGCTGGAGTGCAGCAGCGCGATCTCGGCTCACTGCAACTTCTGCTTCCCAGATTCAAGCTATTCTCCTGTCTCAGCCTTCCGAGTAGCTGGGACTACAGGTGCATGCCACCACGCCTGGGTAATTTTTTGTATTTTTGGTAGAGACGGGGTTTCACTGTGTTAGCCAGGATGGCCTCCATTTCCTGACCTCAAGATCTACCTGCCTTAGCCTCCCAAAATGCTAGGATTACAGAAGTGAGCCACTGCACCTGGCATAAATTAATTTAAGAAGCCCTTAGTAGGCCAGGTGTGGCGGCTCATGCCTATAATCCCAGCACCTGTAATCTTAGCTACTCAGCAGTCTGAGGCACGGGAATCAGTTGAACCCAGTAGGCGGAGGTTGAGGTGAGCCGAGATCGTGCCACTGCACTCCAGCCTGGGCGACAGAGCGAGACTCGATCACAAACCATCAAACACACACAACAAAGAATGCAAAGAAGTGAGAGTCATAGAATTATAGAATGGAATTCCATTCTGAAATCCCTATCATGTGACAAAAAGTCAACCATTCAGAAACTTTGGTGGGGCTGGTGCGGTGGCTCACGCCTGTAGTCCTAGCACTTTGGGAGGCCGAGGCAGGAGGATTGCTTGAGCCCAGGAGTTCGACACCAGTCTGGGCAACATGATGAAACCCTATGTCTACAAAAAACACAAAAGTTAGGCGGGCGTGGAGGCACACACCTTTAGTCCCAGCTGCTGGGAAAGCTGAGCTGGGAGGACGGTTTGAAACTGGCAGGCGGGGGTTGCAGTTATCTGAGACAAATTGCAGATCACGCCACTGTGTTCCAGCCTGGGCGCCAGAGCCCCAGACCCTATTCCCCTCTCCCCGACCCAAAAAAGAAACTTTGATGCGTTACTTTTGGTAATAAATTTCTCATGACACACCTCACAGTGAATTGTGATGGACTGGTGGCTGTCTCACTGTCCCAATATTGCCTTATAACAAACCAAACTCAGTGGCATAAAACAAATATTATTATGCTCCCAGTTTCTGTGGGTCAGGAACTTAATCAGGGCCCAGTGGTGATGGGCTCTACTCCAGGTGGGACCTAGAATTATCTAAGTGCTTCTTCATGCACATGTCTGGTTCCTGAGCTGGCATAATTCAAAAGATATGCTGGGATTATCCGATGGAGTACGTATATGTGGCCTCTCTGTATGTCTGAGCTTCTCACAGAATTGTGGTCAGGTTCCAGGTTGTAGCATCCTGAGAGCTTTTCTTTTTCTTCTTTTCTTTTCCTTTTCCCTCCCTCTTTCTTCCTCTCCTTCCCTTCCCTTTCCTTTCCTTCTTCCTTTCTTTTCCTTCCCTTTCCATTCCTTCTTCCTTTCCTTTCTTTTCCTTCCCTTTCCTTCTTCCTTTTCTTTCCTTTCCTTCTTCCTTCCCTTTCTTTCTTCCTTTCCTTCCCTTTTCATGGTGAAACACGGGGTTTAACCATGTTGGTTAGGCTGGTCTTGAACTCCTGACCTCAAGTGATCTGCCTGTCTTGGCCTCTCAAAGTGCTGGGATTACAGGCGTGAGCCACCGTGCCCAGCAGGACAAGCACATACTTGCACACATGTGGGCATGAACACTCACAGTTATGTACCTTCGGTTAGGCTCAAGTTCAGGCAGACACTCATGCATACGAACACACACACAGTCACAGAAGTCAGGCACACACAAATATACACAACCAGTCACAAATTTTGCCTGCATCCCGCAGACACCCACACCCAGTCACAGACCCACAATCACACATACACTCAAGAATTCACCTACTGCAGAGGGTTCCAATTCCTTGTTGTTTATTCATGCATAATGTATAAAAATAAAACAATAAACTCAGCCCTAGGTCTCAGTCTGGGCTGCGGCTTCATAAATAAAGGGTGAGAGGAAATAATTTAAGGAAGGAGTAGGGCTCAGCACATAAATAAATAAGGTGTGGTGTGTCAGGTGGACGCGGGGTGGGTCGAGGTTCTCAGTCACAGGTCTCCGCTGGCGACACAATGCTGGCGACACAATGCAGGTCCCGTATGAGAAGGCGGAAGAGGTTGAAGGTGACAGAGGCCTCCAGGCAGCCAGGGGACTCCTGCAGGGGAGGAGGGGATGGGTAAGGAGCTGTCCAGGGTCTGGTCTCCCAGTGGCTCCCCAGACCCCAGTGTCTCCCCTCCTGGGTCACTCACCTTTTTCGGGGCCTCCTGGAGCCGGTGCAGCCAGTGGTGGAGGCGGCCCTGGGGCCTGGGCCCTGCCGTGGGCTGAGGCTGGACCTGTGTGCAGAGGAGGGTGGTGTATGAGGCAGAGCTGGGCCAGGACAGGGGAAGCTGCTGCTCAGAGCTCACAGACCTGGTGCCCGGGCCCCAAGTACTCACACATGCCCGGAGCTGGGAGAGGACGTGGTGCAGGGTGTGAAGGGGCTGGTCCAGGACGTCCCCCAGGGCCGTGTCATTGTCAGCAGCGGCCTCCAGAACCTCCAGCGTCAGGGCCAGCTCGGCCTCCAAGGCCACGGGGCGCTCCCTCACCTGAGAAGAGGTGAGAAAGAACACGTGAGGGAAGGCTCAGTTAGTAGGGACAGGTAGGCAGTCCCAGGGAGGGTCGGTGACTCGGTGCATGTGTTGGGGACAGGTGTGGGGTCTGGGGAGAAGGAGACAGGAGGGAGAAGACATGAGGAAGGATACAGGTGAGTCAGGAATGCCAAGGAGGCAGGTGAGGGGATAAGTGAAATGGAGACAAAGGAAGGGGGACTTGAAGGGGCTGCTGGGACGGGTGAAGAGAAAACGGGTTTGGAGTGCAGTGACAGGGACAGTTGCATGCTCAGAGAAGTAGAGTGGGGCTGGCCCAGTGGCTCACGTCTGTAATCCCAGCACTTTGGGAGGCTGAGGCAGGTGAATCACCCGAGCTCAGGAGTTCGAGACCAGCCTGGCCAACATGGTGAAACCCCGTCTCTACTAAAAAGACAAAAGTTAGTTGGGTGTGGTGGCAGGCGCCTATAATCCCAGCTATTCGGGAAGCTCAGACAGGGGAATCGCTTGAACCTAAGAGGCGGAGGTTGTGGTGAGCCAAGATTGTGCCATTGCTCTCCAGCCTGGGCCCAAAAAAGAAAACCCGGATCAAAAAAAAAAAAAAAAAAATAGAGAGAGGGGTGGACGAAGGGTGAAGGGGGAGCATCATGAGCTGGATGAATGTCAGGGAGAGATGATGAGGGACAGGTGAGAGGGAGAGAGTCAGTACTGAGGACAGGGAGAAGTGGTGCAGGATGAAAGGTACAGGTTGGAGAGAGACTGAGGACATTTGGGGGAGAAATAAAGAGTGAGAGCGGAAGTGACAGGGACAGATGAGCCAGCAAGGGAAATGGGGCTGACAGGAGATGATAAAAGGACCCAGGGGAAGGACAGAGTCAAGACAGCAGTTGAGAAGTGGCAGGGCCACAGGACAGGTGAGGACAGGTCCAAGAGAGGGAAGGACACAGGAAATGAAGAAGGCTGAGGGGCCACTTAAGGAGATAGGGGAGAGGGTCAAGGTAAGGGTGAAGGTGGCCCGACATCCAGCTCACCTGGAGCAGCCGCAGGTCCCAATTCCTGGGGAAGACAGGAGAGGTGCAATTCCAGTCTTTCAGCCTGAATGACTCTTCCTAGAGAGCAAGGGTAGTGGTTAGCCCATAGCAGGAGGGCTGGAAGCTAGGTCATAGCAGCAAGGATGAAGTTGGTCTGACAGCATGGGTTTAACCCAGTGCAGAAAAGATAGAAGTTCGCCATAGTTGGAAGGCTAGAGGTTAGCCCACAGTAGCAGGGCAGAGGTTAGCCCGCAGCAGGAGGGCTGGAAGCTAGCTCAGAGCAGCAAAGATGAAGTTGGGCTGACAGCATGGGTTTAACCCAGTGCAGGAAGGATAGAGGTTCGCCATAGTTGGAAGGCTAGAGGCTAGCCCACATTAGCAGACCCTGTAGTGGAGGTTAGCCCATAGCAACAGGCACTTACCAAGGCATCCCTGGCCTTCCTGAAGCTCTCTAGCTCCTGCGGTGGCAGAGATTTGTACCTGTCCATGTGGCAGCCCTTCCCAGTAGTGATGGACTTGGAAGTGGGGACAGAGCCTGCCACAGCCAAACCTAGCACCAAAGTCACTAGCGTGACGATCCAAGCTGCAGCCATGGCTAAATCGCAACTGCTTCCCCAGCGGCATGGCTCTGCTTTTTAGCCGGGAAATGAGGAATGCCCAAGATGAGCAATCCAGGATGATGTATGTAAAGTGAAAAGGTAATTGGAAATGAGAATTTCCGCTTTGACTTTAAAGGCATGAGTGGGTGGGGCCAGTCGGGGAGCCTGGTGAGGGAACAGGTGTGGGTGGGGGCAAATGAGCTGGGAGCTGCATCAAAAAGGAAAGGGAAAGTAAATTTCTTACTCCCTGGGTGGCTCTCAGGCAACTGGCCTCAGGAAGTCCCTGAGGGAGGTTGAGGTTATGGATAAGGCTACCTAAGCGGCAGGGAGAAAATTTCTTTTTTATTTTAAGTTAGCCAGGTGTGGTGGCCTGCACCTGTGATCCCAGCTACTCAGGAGGCTCACTTGAACCTGGGAGGCGGAGGTTGCAGTGAGAGAAATTGTGCCGCTGCACTCCAGCCTGGGCAACAGAGTGAGATCCTGTTTCAAAAAAAAAAGCTTCTTTTAAAATTTTATTATTTTTATTATTTTTGAGACGTCTCGCTCTGTCACTAGGCTGGAGTGCAGTGGTGCGATATCGCCTCACTGCCACCTCCGCTTCCTGGGTTCAAACTAATCTGTCTCAGCCTCCTGAGTAGCTGGGATTATAGGCACGCACCACCACGCCCAGCTAATTTTTGTATTTTTAGTAGAGACAGGGTTTCACCATGTTTGCCAGGATGGTCTTGATCTCCTGACCTCGTGATCAACCTGCCTTGGTCTACCAAAGTGCTGAGATTACAGGCGTGAGCCACCGCGCCCGGCTATCGTTATTATTTTTTGAAGATGGAGTTTCACTCTTGTTGACCAGGCTGGAGTGCAATGGCGCAATCTTGGCTCACTGCAACTTCTGCCTCCTGGGTTCAAGCGATTCTCCTGTCTCAGCCTCCTAAGTAGCTGGGATTATAGGTGTGTGCCACCATGCCTGGATAATTTTTGTATTTTTAGTAGAGACAAGATTTCACCATGTTGGCCAGGCTGGTCTCGAACTCCTGAGCTCAGGTGATCCACCCACCTCAGCCTCCCAAAGTGCTGGGATTACAGGTGTGAGCCACCACCTTATTTTATTATTTATTATTTATTATTTTTTTTTTTGTAGAGGTGAGGGTTTCACTGTGTTGCCCAGGCTGGTCTTGAACTCCTGGCCTTAAGCCATCCTCCTGCTTCAGCCTTCCAAAGTGCTAGGATTAGAGGCACGAGCCACTGCTCCTGGCCAAGAGGGAGCTTCTGTCACTGGTTTAAGATTGTCTTGTTAACTAACTCAGTTCATGCTCCTAATGTTTCTATGAGTAGTTATTTTTATGATTATGATGGTTAATTTTAGGTGTCACCTTGACTGGTTAAGTTTACCAGAATTACACGTTAATTCTGGGTATGACTCTGAGGTGCTTTCAGAAGAGACTGGCATTTGACTCAGTGGACTGAGTAAGGAAGACCATCCAATCGGCCGAGGACCTGAATAGAACAAAAAGGCGGAGGAAAGGTGAATTTTCTCTCTCTTACGAGCTGGGACACACTGCATCTGCCCTTGAACGTCAGAACTCCAGGCTCTCTGGCTTTCGATTGCTGGGACTTGCAGCCGGGCACGGTGACTCACGCCTGTAATCCCAGAACTTTGGGAGGCCAAGGCAGGCAGATCACTTGAGGTCAGAAGTCTGAGACTAGCCTGGCCAACATGGTGAAACCCCGTCTCTACTATAAGCACAAAAATTAGCCAGAGGTGGTGGCACATGCCTGTAGTCCCAGCTACTCAGGAGGCTGAGGCAGGAGAATTGCTTGAACCCTGGAGACGGAGGCTGCAGTGAGCTGAGATCATGCCCCTGCATTCCAGCCTGGGTGACAGAGCAACACTCTGTCTCATAAACAAATAAATAAATAAATAAATAAAATGCTGGGACTCGCACCAGCTGTCTCCCAAGTCCTGAGGCTTTTGCTCTTGGACTGAACTGCACTACAGTCTTCCCTGGTACTCCAGCTTGCAGATGGCCTGTTGGGGAACTTCTTAGCCTCCATAATTGTCTGAGCCAATTTCCCTAATAAATTCCCTCCTATCTATCTATCTATCAATCAATCGATCAATCAATCATCTTCTAGCTCTCTATCTCTATCAATCATCTATCATCTATGTATCTATATCTATCTAATCTGTCAATCATCTATGTATCTAGTCTATCTCTCTAGATATTTAGTCTATTTATGTATCATTTATCTATCATCTAACAGTCTATATTATTTTTTGAGATGGAGTTTCACTATTGTTGCTCAGGCTGGAGTGCAATGGTGAGATCTCAGCTCACTGCAGCCTCTGTCTCTTAGGTTCAAGTGAAGTGATTCTCCTGCCTCAGCCTCCCGAGTACTGGGATTACAGACATGTGCCACCATGTCTGGCCAATTTTTTGTATTTTCAGTAGAGACGGGGTTTCACCATGTTGGCCAGGCTGGTCTCGAACTCCTGGCCTCCGGTGATCCATACACCGCGGCCTCCCAAAGTGTTGTGATTATAGGTATGAGCCACTGTGCCTAGCCATCTTTATCTGTTTTTTTTTTTTAGACCGAATTTTGCTCTGGCACCCAGGCTAGACTGCAGTGCACAATCTTGGCTAACTGCAACCTCCGCCTCCAGGGTTCAAGTGGTTCTCTGCCTCAGCTTCCCAAGTAGCTGGGATTACAGGTGCCCAGCACCACACCTGGCTAATTTTTGTAGAGGTGGGATTTTGCCATGTTGGCCAGGCCAGTCTTGAACTCTTGGCCTCAAGTGATCCATCTGCCTTGGCCTCCCAAAGCGCTGGAATTAAAGATGTGAGCCACTGTATCCAGCTATTATCTGTCTATCTATCTATCTATCTATCTGATCTATCTATCATCTATTTATCTATTCATCCATCCACCCATCCTGTTGGTTCCGTCTCTCTGGAGAACCCTGATTAATACAATAATCATGCCCATTTTACTGGTGAGATAACTGAGGCATAGGAAAGCAAAGTGACTTGCCTAAGGTCCCACAGCCAGCTAGTGGCAGAGATGGGGTATGATCAGAGTCCTGTGCACTTGCTTCCTATTCCATATGCAGCCCAGTAGAAGATGAGAACCTCCGAGGGTAACAGGCCCACTTCTCCTTTCTGTCTCCTTTCATGGGTAGCATGAAAGGGGAAGGAAGCTTCTGATTTGCTGGGGGCAAGTGCATTTCCTGAGGACTGGAGGGGCTGTGTGGAAAGAAGGTGGGCGGTGAGTCTGGTTGCCTTGCTGTCATCATCCCTGCAGTAATAATAATTGTGTGGCAGGTAAGAAACTGCTCTGATGTGCAGGCATTTCATATTTTTCACTCCTTTATTTTTTTTCTTAGCCCTTTGGTACAGAAAGTTATTAATCATACCCTTCAGATCGTAACACAGGATCACAATTGGCCCATGAAAGACCCTCCAAGGCTTTTACTCCCCCATTGCCAATTCCCATTCCCACCGCACCCCCACAGACACCCACTATAATGCACTTGATAAATGGCTGCAAAGATGTATCTTTATAATTTGTGAATTTGTGTGTGTATGTGTTTCCAATTTACATAAGCAGGATTGTGTTATAAATCTTCTACTTCTTTCTTTTTTTTTTTTCAACTTAACACTGCTTCTGAGATCTCTTCACACAGCTGTGTACATCAAGTTTCCTGTTTATGACTGCTGTACCGTATTTCATGGTGTACACAACCGCAGCACTTTTACTTATCTACTCCCCCAGTGATGGACACTTGGGTTGCCTCTAGCTCACACCTGTCCTCTGTGTGGGAGGCTTTCTGGAATATATGGTAGCACACCAGCTGATGCCCCTACTGCATCCCCTCAGCTTGTGTTTACTGTGGTCAGTTGCCACACAGGCTGACAGCTTCCCACCTCATGTGCTTGGATCTTTCTGCTTCTCTGCTAGAGGCTGAGGTATTTCTACTGTCTGAATGCAGAATGGACTGGAAGTAGCAGGATCAATTCCCCCAGTAGCAATCCTCAACCAGTGAGGGCTGAAAGCAATTGAATAAATACTGCAGCTACCCTTTTCCTTGAAGGGTCAATTCTAGGTGACTTCTACATGATTATTTCATCTTCTTAGGGTCCCCAGAACAAATGACCTCTAGCTGCTCACAGCAATAGCCTTTTTGGGGCTGGAAGTAGGGTGGGTCAAATTAGGGGACCAGGGTCAAAATTTAAGGAGGGGCCAGGTGCGGTGGCTCATGCCTGTAATCCCAGCATTTTGGGAGGCCAAGGTGGGCAGATCATCTGAGGTCAGGAGTCCAAGACCACCAGCCTGGCCACCGTGGTGAAACCCTCTCTCCTAAAAAATACAAAAAATTAGGCAGGCATGGTGGCGTTACTCAGGAGGCAGAGGAACAAGAATTGCTTGAACCCGGGAGGTGGAGGTTGTTGTAAGCCAAGATCATGCCACTGCACTCTGGGTGACAGAGTGAGACTCTGTCTCAAACAAACAAACCAGCAAAACGAAACAACAACAACAACAACAAAACACAAGCATGCAGCATGCACCTGTGGTCCCAGCTACTTAGGAGGCTGAGGCAGGAGGATCTCTTGAGCCCAGGAACTTGAGGCTGCAGTGCCACTGCACTTTAGCCTGAGTGCCAGAGTGAGACTCACACACACACACACACAAAAAAAACAGACAAAAACCCGAAACCAAAAAAATATGTTTTCAAAGTCTTTGACTCTTTCCCCATTGAGAAGTGAGTTTATCCCCTTCCCTTGAGTCTGGGCTGGCCCTAGTGGCTCATGTGTAACCACGCGTGCTGCACAAACTTCGAGGCGAAGTCAGAAAAGGATAAGAATCTTTCGCTTGGTTCTCTTGAGACTGTCACTCAGTGGAGGCTGGGTACCATGCTAGAGGGCTCTGAAAACACTGTGCTTCCACTTCCACTGGACATCAACTGCCAACCATGTGACTGAGGCATCTTGGATGTT